GGGGGTGGAAGAGGGAGGGCATATATGACTACCCATGTACGAATGTTGAGCAAGCCTTCCCATGCTCCCTGAATCAGGCTACTACATACCAGTTTGCTCTCGTGTGTTCATCGCTAGCAGACTGGTCAAGTTCGGTGATAAAAATAGGCAGACCAGCTTTCGCTAGAACATCAAGGCGGGCCTGGAGAAGAAAAAAAAAGACTTATCCTTATATCGGGGAGCTCTTTCGGTTTGGAGGTACGGTGTTCGCCTCTCATTCAATAGGTCACGAGTTCTAAACCTGACAGAGACGGAACATTTTCTTCTCTAAAATTTTCTCCTTTCATCTCCTTTCCTGCTCTCCAATCCTGATCTGCATCTTCTTTCGTCTCTCCTTTCTGCTCCCTACCCTCAACTGGGCTCATGACTCTTCACAATGCAACTCCTGACTCCATCTTACTGCTGTCTTTCAGCCACACCCCTGATCTTATAGTAGGTAAGATTGAACACCTAGTCTTTTCGGATTAAGGGGGGGGGGGGTCTCGGAGGTTTTGTGTGCAAGTTGACAAGTTAAAGATCCCTTGGTGGTTCTAAAATCGATAATCATAGGCATCGACCTCCATCTGGGCAACATTCAAAATTAATTCCTATCAAACTAAAAGTGTTTAACGTGTCCTGCCCGCTCATAGGACCTTAGGCAGTTGGGAACGCGTAACACTTACCACAAAAACAAGAAACTTGCTAAATGTATACTACACGACGAACGACCAGAACGAACTGCACCAAAACTGAAGCGGATGCACCAACATTGCTCGTCGTATTAATATGAGAAAGAAACGAACCACTCCGCTTGTACGAAATCATTTCATTTGTTCTACAACTTGAGTTGTGTGAACGATTTGCTTGGTTCTCTTCAATTCTTTCCCATTTACCATTCGTCCGCTATTATTTGTCGGTGTGCATCTAGCATAACCATACGTTAGGGTGCAGCCATACGTAACGAAATCTGAGTAACGTAACCGATCGAAAATAACTAGCAGTAGTAATTAACTTCTCTTCTCATTCAAAGGAACAGAGCTACTTTTTCAAGCTAATCACAGACAAAGGAAGAAGAATTTGTTATCAAGAAAGATTTGACGTGTCCTGTCGTGATTCTAAGCCCCTAAACCTTTACTTGTTGACGTTAAGCATGGACACATCCTTATACGAGTGTGGACAATGCCTGTTTAAAGGTGAAGAATACCTCTATCGATTATATTGCGTGCAGTGGCTACCATCACCACCTCTGGTGATGTTAACAAGTGAAGAAGTGATGTATTTAGACTTACGTTGATAACATCTACGTTGGGCTCTACGTAGTCTTGGAGATGACTTTGTACTCCAATACCTCCAAGTCCGACATTGGCGGCCTTGAACCGCATGATCTGGGTAAAGAAACTCTGTGGGTGGAATTGAAACGTGGAATCAATTTGGGTATGTGCGTGCGCGTGCACTAAAGTATGTTGGTGCTACAGTTCAGGATGGTGATACTGCCGCTGCTGCTGTTGTTGTT